ATAGAGTATAATATTGAAAGAGATTGCAATTTAACACAAATTGGAGGACTTCTAGATACTAAGGGCTATGGAATCGCTACCAGAAAAGGTATGTAAGAATCAAGTTGTTTGTACCGGTATAAGTTATCACAGTACATTATATGATAGTATGTACATTTCTACACATGTTTATAGTATCTATACTATACTTAGATTCTATAGATACTATAGATTCTATACTGTGTAGAATAGATTCTATATTATACTAGTATTAGTAGAATAATTGTGTCTGATATGTATGAATAGACTCCCCGTACAGAAACCCATTATCACACGCTATACTCAAATTACACGAGAATGGAGTTCTGTTACAACTGAAGGACAGGTGGTGGAAGCAAAAGAAAGGTATCATTACTACCATTAAGACTATTGAATTGTCATTAGCTCTATCACTATCACTACTTGACTGTCAGGTGGAGGACAATGCGCTGAAGAGACCAAAAAGTCTTCGTCCGTCAATAACCTGAGCATCGATCACGTCGGCGGTGTATTTGTCGTCCTCTTAGGTTAGACTAACTATATCTTTAAATATATGCCATAAACTGGTCTTTTGTAACATAATGTTAATTATGTACTTATATGATCTTTATAATATAAATCAATTAAATGTCATGCAATTTATTTAATTTTATTTGATTTATTGTTATTTTATGACACCATAACTTGGTTTATAGATTAATTGTACCGTATGCCTTAAGTCTAAGTTGGCTCAGCACTATTAAAACAGTTAATTGACCATTTATTATTTTTTAAGGGCTTTTGACAATTAAATTACTAATGCTATCTTGATCAAATGAAATGGAATTAGAATAATATGGGGTCTGCTATTTATATTTTATAATCCCCTCAAAGGACATGGCAACATGAAGACTTTTTATTTTAAAAAATAGACAGTATTTCTAAGGTTTATTGAAATAAATTCGGTAGTGCTCAAAAAATAACATTGTTTATTTTGAATTTAAAAATATCTTTAGAAATAACAATTCTGTTGTTTCGCATGGTAACATCTCAAGCGGTTTCGCAATTTGCTTCTAATATTTAATGTATTAATCTATAAATAATATATAATTGATTTAGTATATAACATTCATGAGATATAATACTAAATAAACACATTGGTATATTTTTAGATATCGAATGTAATTGAAGCATGTATGATACAATAATATTATATGGTACAGAATAATCCTTTATACAGATATAATACTATGTGCTCATACTGTATTCATAAAACTTTTAAACTTACAAGTTAGTTTGCTTATTCATATAAATATTTTATGATTTTATGTTCAAAATTACGTTTGAGTATTTATAAAAATTTTATTTTTGTATGAAGAACTAATAAGTAAGCTATAATTGCTAGTATTTCTAATTTATAATACTATAAAGTTTTGTATGAAACAATAAAAAGACCAGGTTTGTATAGTACGATTTACAGTATTTATATTATGAATAAGAAGCATCAATATGTTTATATTATATTAGGCGGTCTGTCCCTATCGTTTTTGGTCGCTATATTCGAGTTCATATGGAAGGCTAGGAAAGACACCACAAAAGAGGTTTTATTTTTGCAAATTATTAACAATTATCTTTTAATAAAATTTTATTTAAAAAATATTTTCCCCATAATATTGAGTAAATTATCAAAACATTGTGTAACATTTTAAATCAATAATTGTATGCATACTTACAGTATGTTACATAACAAATTCAGCCATTTATTTGTCTTTGAATTACATTTTATGCTATCGTAAGATTTAACTAAAGATTAAAAAGTAACTTACATATGGACAACATTATAAACTTTTAATGTTCAATAAAAATGCTTACGATAGCATATGATTTTTTAAAAAGTGAAATACAGTAAACGGTTGGAGTTTTATGTTTCATAATTAAAATTAAACATCATTATATTGTAATATGCATATTATCACATTATTATCATATTATGCAAAATAATGAAAGGTTTACTCTCAAAAGGCCTAAACCCCAGAAGACTTGAAACCGAAAAGATCTAAACTCAAATAACTAACTGACCAGTGGACATATTTTAATTTGATTTGTAGAATAGATGTGTCTTAACTTAACTTAACCTAAATTAAATCAAATGACCCTTGGTCAGTTAGTGATTCAAGTTTAGGCCTTTTGGGTGAGTCCCTGAGTCTCATAATGAAATCCTATGTTTTGTGTATTCACTGAAAAGGAGTCCATATTCGATGAGATGATCAAAGACTTCCGGTTTGCGTTCGCCTGTCAGAGCAAAACCAAAGTTCTTCAGAAGAGGGATCAGTTCTATAAAGACAAGTACGACGACGGCTGTCCTCCTCAGTACAGCGCTGACTTCAATTCAGTCTATTAGCTATTTATTAATAAATATAAATATAATTATAATGCAGTGTATTATTGACTACATAATCATTGTTATTCATTATTATAGCTTATTTATAAACATAACCATTTGCTTCTACACAAATCAAATCCATGCAAATACCAGTCAAATTATAATACCCTTACAAACCCTTATCGACCCTCACAAACACTTACCAAGGTCCACTTCCACTAAACAACAGTATGAACACTTCAACATTTAGGTTCTCAAAGCATATAAAAGCATGTAATGATGTAATACTAATTGAATAGGCAATGAATAATTTGTAACAAATTCTTGTTTTTACATCAAATGTAAATATCATACGAAATGACATAATTTGTAAATAATTTTTTCTAAACTATTATTGAAATCTTAAGAGTGACTAAACGTTTGCTTTAAAATGAAATTTACTAATACTAATGCATTTGATAATAGGCTGCCATTAGTTTGGGATTTTGTCTTTTAGTAAAGTTATGCAATAATTGTCTCTCAATTCATTAAACTAAACTTGTACACTTATTAAGAGAACTACACCTCAACAAGATTTCCAATTTTGAGGCATTGCTTATAACTTATTAACAAATCAAACAATATTTCAAGATTTATCAAAGTGTGTATTATATGATTGATTGTATATTTCTTATTTAAAGTTTTCAATAAAATTTAAATTGCAATCAAAGTATATCAGCCTACAAGTTTTCTATTTAGCAGTATTGACCTCACCCAGCTCTACTAGAAATGTATCCAGTATGAATAGTTGTATGACCATGGTAATCGTAATTGTTCGGAGCACACAATTTGAGATCCGATTCGGATGTGTCGTCAAAAAGTAGAATAGGAACCCAATTATAGGAAAGATTTCATGTATTCATTCATTCATTTATTTTATCGATTCATTTGGAAAAATACAAAATAAATATGATTCAAATTAAGTATTAGTAATGCATTTATTGAAACTATCATTTATTTATTGAATTTATTTTTAATTTGACTCATATTTGTGTTAATCAAAAGTATTTTGTATGAATGTTTTGAAAATATTCAATTATTTTTTATATATCTATACTTTCCCAAATTAATCAATGAATATGTTTTTATCACAAATTATTTTACAAGAGGTTAGTGATAAAAAAGACTAACAATTTTGAATATACCCTGCTACATTCATAAGTACGCACACGACTTACACCGACTTAAAGACTGCAAAATTGAGTTCTTATTATATACACTACTCACTGAAAACATACGAGTTTTTATATTTTATATAATTACGTTTATACGGCATAACTCTCGGTATATAACAGTAAACCTCTATTCAAACTAAATCACCAATTGAATAGTAATAAATTGAATATAGTAAATAAATTAATAAATTGAACCTTTATTCAATCAAACAAATAACATATTTAAAATGAATTTTTGTACAATATTTACATGAAATTGATTCAAAATAGCAATTCATATACTATCAAGTATATTCATATAATATATTATTATATTTACATGTACCGTACAATATAACTTAATTGGTATTAAACATGAACATGTGCTCAAATCCAATTCAAAAAGTGGTATCATATTAATATATATTTAATATTCAACACTTACGGTAATAAATAACAATTATATAAGTGTAATAAATAAATTGATCAGGGTCTACATTGACTATATAGTAATATACGGATACATTTGAAAGCAATAACAGTAACATGTGTTGAGAAGTGTGTGTCAATGGTGTCAGTGAGCCATATGTGAGCCAATGAGACAATCGACTAATTTATGGCAAAATATCTCTCAGTATTTGTTTCGTCGAATCCGTCAATACTTCGGGAAATTTAATCTCGAAATTGATTAACAGATCACCTCTTCGTTGAGGCTCTTTAGGCATAGGGAGTCCGTGACCGCGGATTCGGTGAACAGTGGAAGGTTTGATCACATCATTCAAGCGCACCGGTAGTCTCTCGCCAGTAAGGGTGGGAACAGTGAGTTGAGTGCCGCAGAGGGCGTCCTTCAGCGATATTTTGGCCGTATATGAGATGTCTGTGCCGTCGCGTCTGAACTGTGGGTGCGGTTTGTCTTTGATGACGAAGACGATGTCCGCGGGAATGGATCCCGAGTTGTGGTCTCCCTCTCGTTGGAACGTAATCTTCGTGCCGGCCTTCCATCCGGGCTTCACACTAATGGTCAGCACTTTGTCCTCTTTGCGGACACCCCTGCCGTCGCTGTTCACCACTTTGCGGGTGATCTTCATCTTCTTCGTGCAGCCCTTCAGCACCTCCTCCAGAGTGACCATCAGCTGGTGCTCTATGGGTGGGTCCTGTTTGGCCCGTGACTTACGCGGCGAACCACCCGTCCCTCCAAACGACTGGTGAGACATAAACTGCTGGCGCGGACCAGACTGTTGGCCAGACATGAAGCCAAACATCTCGTTGTCCACATCCATGGCATCGAAGCCACCGCTCGACTGGAACTGATGGCTACCACCACCGCCACCACCGCCTCCATGACCTCCTAGTCCTCCCATATTGAAGAACATCTCGAATGGGTTATCGGTTCCGAAGAACTGACTGAACGTCTGTCTCGGGTCGCCATGAAATGTGTACGAATAGTGAGGCCCTCCGCCACCTCCCGTCCCTCCAGGACCTCCCGACCCTCCACTCGGCTGGCCTTTGAGGCCCTCTTCGCCGAACTGGTCGTAAATGTCTCTCTTCTTCTTGTCGGATAGCACTTCATAGGCCTCTGCGATGTCTTTGAACTTGTCTTCAGCGCCGGCACTCTTATTCTTGTCGGGATGGTACTGAAGGGCCAGTCGTCTGTACGCCTTCTTCACGTCCTCCTCAGTGGCCGACTTCGACAGCCCTAAGACCTGGTAGTAGTCTTTGCCCATCACTGCGATCACTACTATCACCTGAACTGATTCACTGATGCAGAGATGCAAACAAACAGTCGTATAGTTGTGTCAAATGAATGTCACTTTCAATGAGACTCACAATCAGTGTATGACTGCTCGAGACCTCACACTCAGACAAATATAACGTAAACACTGTTTCCAGAAGTTTCCAGAATCTGCTCAACACTACAGACAATACTATACGTCACTATAGGGGCCAACAAATGCACTGCCCTTTCACTCCAATGCATTCCCGTGCCCTACCAATGCCTACAACCAAATGCACGTATTGTATGTTTAGTCCACATTTGTATTAATTAGAAAACGACGGTTGGGCGGGTGTGTGAGTAATACGCCAATGCCCGCCCGCTCGCGCCCAATACGCCCGGCATGCCCTAAAAAATCGGAGGGGCTAACAGTAAAACCCTTCTCTCATATATTACGTCGTAGAATAAGGGGTGAAAAGGGGGCAATTATTATTATATCCAGACATATTTGTTGCACATATGGCGCATTGGGCGCGACTTTAACAGACGTTTTGTTAAATCTAGTGAAATACAGAATATTTTGTGGTTGTTTTTAAACTAATTAGGTGCTAGTAGTAAGGATAAATGTTTTTAAAAGACTAGCTTTTAATTTAAGTTATAATTAATTAATTAATTAAGTTTTAATGTTAAAAACTGGGCGGGCGGACGCGTCTCGAGTACGCCGGGCATGCGCCCATTACGCCTTGGCAGGCGCGGGCGGGTGTCGCTTTCTAGTATTAATACAGTTAGAGTTAGACACACATCTGCGTCTTTCATAACACGTATGACATGTCGTCATAATAGAGGACAACATTTGGTCACACCCCTGTCCGTCTTCATTCCCGAAATAATATGTGTGGCCATTACATAGTTGTAAGCTTGATCATTTAATTCATATTGCATCATATTCTTCGCCAAATTCAATGATACGTTCGATATTGACGAGGAGGAAGGACACTGACGTGACATATTGGTCTGTCTTCATGTCTATTGTCCAACCTTAAGTATATCGTATTTATCATATAAATTATACTGTAATATGCGAGCATAGAACCATCTATTATCAAGAATAATTAACAGCAATTTGTACATTATATTGCAGTTGTAAATTAAAACTTGTAATATTATTAATACAGTAAGAGTCATGCAAAATCTCTAAATTGTTGGATGTTATCATATTCACAAAGTACAGTACATATGCAATATTTTCTCCATAAATTTACCC